TATTTTACTACTATATATATATATATATATATATATATATATATATATATATATATATATAGATAGATAGATAGATAGATAGATAGATAGATAGATAGATAAATAGATAGATAGATAGATAGATAAATAGATAGATAGATAGATAGCTAGATAAATAGATAGATAGATAGATAGATAGATAGATAGATAGATATATCTTTATATATTAAATACCTATACGTAAGACTTGTTACATACGTAAAACGTTTACTACGAAGAAAAGCAACGTATGGAGGTTTTGTCTACAAGAGTCAAAGTACATATCCCAAATTGTGTGTGTTAGGGCGCTTACGTTTACGCCAAATTTCCAATGTGTATTTATTCTATGGCAGAATATATTTTACCAAATTGAATATATAAATCATATTTTAGTGTAAATGAATATAAAGGTTTGGACTGCTCTCCAACAAAAAAACGAAATATAACAGTTAGCAGCTGTGCTACAGTATATGCACTTGATCGGACGTGCGCGTCGTGAGTGTACGAATTATTCGGTAGACGAGATAATAATCACGGCATGCCTAATAAAATTTTGTTTTATTTTTGCCGCGTAGTGAATGTATATATTAACATGATAATAAGTATATCTCAGTAATCTCAGCGAAGCATATCGCTACTGCGTAGTTAGTTCTTACATATTACGACGAATGCGCGCGAAAGTACGCCAATTATATGTATGTACTTTCCTGCTATAGCTATAGTAAAAAAATATTAGGAAAGGCGCATTCACGTGAAACGTGCGCGCCTGCGATAAATTTGAGACTGAAAGGCGTTCTAGCTGAATTTCAAATATGGCAAAAAAGTAACTAGTAGAGCCTGTGCTGCAGCCTCCGCCTACTGCATACAATAGCTGGTGTTCATAATGAATGCGTTAGGGCTGGTAGAGCCGTGGTCAAGAGAGACTGAATTGCGGTATACGTACAATGAACGGCGCGCAAGTTACCATTGTAGCCGTATATAAAGGTTAGTCTGCGGGTGTCAGGGGGATTCGTGAATAGGTAAAGTGTAGCCTTAATGGCAGAGCTGCTAAAGGATATGTGAACCCTGGCGGTGCGCGGGACCATTGCGAAAGAAAAGTCGTCACTTGTTTCGGCAGGTCCCTGCGTTTCCGACCGACAATACTCTGCATGAATAATGTACGAGCTATTGATATTTTACCCGTGGGCTGAACCGGACTGCCAAAGTTAGCATGACAATGGCATAGACATCAACACTGCCGGTGGTAATATTTTCGGTACTATACCCTGTTTCATAGGCATGGGATTTACACATTGCCATGCGAACAACCAACCCCATTCGTACTCGCCAATCGCTTTCACAGTAACTCTGTACAATGATGAATCTGACGGCAGAGGTTAGGGCCCGCATGGCAGCTGTCAATGGTTGCGCGGGGACAGACGCTACGCCACGTTTGAATCACGTTAGGATTATTATTTTTTAATTCAAGATACTTATTACTGTGTAGTTCGACAGACCTATTTACTGATGCACGCGCAAGCACACACGCACGCGCATGCACATGCGCGATTCCGCCCATATTCACACGCACGCGCACCCACGTCAGCACGCGCGCTCACTCACACACAGATAGATTAGTTCTTGTGCGAGCGAGTGATATCCATAATCATAGTGAGAATGACGCGCTGAATTGTGTTTCACCTAAACGTATAGTTTACGTCTAGAACCACAGAAGAACAAAACGACAAGTATGTATTTGCAATGCAAATATAATTATATATTAGTGAAAACCGCGCGAGTATTCAGAACTGGATATTGTTCTGACGAGAAAATCGTGGTAACATGGTACATTAAACTTTGGTATAAGGTTGTCCCTTAATTCGAACAACGCAGGCGAATTATGCACCCGAACTATAACATAGGATTGCATGCACGATGTTTTATTGACATTTAATGCTTGTTTGGTGTTTTAACCCCTCATAGAATGTATGTTTGAATTCTAACAATCCATTCATTGGCATTAACCTGCTGATGACGTATAGTCTGGTAAGGTGAACGTAGATTTATGCAAGTATTTGTTCACTAATCGCGGATAACCCAGTATACTGTGCCCCAGTATAATAATTCCTCAAATCGTATATATGTATATGTTTGTTACTATTGCCAACTTATATGTCTATGCATTAGGAAGCCGAGACGTGATTGAGACTGATTCGCGTGGTTTTGTGTCATTAGTTCATGTCCAATCATTAATAATGAGATTTGGTTCTTGATTAGATATTTTGTGTTTGTGTAGGGTAATACTACCCACGATGCGGTAAGGCATTTTGGTGAAGTATGTATTTCTTTATAAGAATGTGAATATGCAACCAGGTGTCCCACCTAGCGAATTGCGATATATATCACGTGATAGTAGTAACGCGACATGTTATTTAAAAAATATCGTACTCGCACATTCTTCAGTATATCACACTTATAGTTACGAGTGCATCGCAGATGCTATATGTATATGCGAGTGTACGCGCTCGTCCTTATGTGTATGTGTATACGTTACTGTGAGCGTGTATAATAATGTATGACATAGTTAATATAACATTTGTAATCTTTATAAACCGCATCTATATAAAAGGTTTATTACTATCGACATAATTAACATATGTACACGCGATTATTTATCAGTAATTTAGATTAATTGATCATGTCACATATCTGATTGTAAAAAGTTATAAAAATGCGCGAAAAAGGTGGTTAAAATATTAAAACTGGGATTAGTACATATCAAAATTTTCATTTCAAAAGTTAAAGGGAATCGTTTACCTTATATGCAAAGGTGCAAACAATATCTTACGATGCTTGCGATATCTGCAAGGCGAGTAAAGATAAAACGATGAGGCAGAAAACGTTTTCTACTAATCGAAGCTACACGATAGTTCGCGCTCAAATATGTAATTATATAATTATTATGCATTATTTAGTTAACTTCATAGCTTCACTGCATCGAGTAACGATTTCGCCAAATCTACGCCACCGTTGGCTAGTATATAGTGATGTAAGTGAGCAGAATGCGACATATTTATATATTGTTCTCATGGGTAGCGCGCAGGAGATATGCGCTCCTGTATGCCTGATCCGGGCTTCCGCTTTTTAACACGTACGGCAAGTCTAAGGGCATTCAACTAGTGATTTAAATGATTAATTTTACCAGTACGCGTAATTGCATTAAGAATGTCGTATTAGTTCAGAATATTAGATAAAAAGTAAGATATTGTTATTGTACCTCGCTGACTATCAATTGTGTTGAATAAAATTTTTAGGGCGCATGCACCCTCTATGTGTAACTTGGGTAGTTTGCGCAAGTTCATATTACGTGATTCGCTGATATTATTGCGTGTATTGAAATGTGTAGATAAAAATCACTAATAGTAGACTTGTAAAGTGAATAGGCCTGAGGAAAGAGCACAAAAATCCCAATTAAAACACTTAGAAAGTAGTATTCAAAGTCTTTCCTTTAAAAGAATGCTTCAAACTAAACAATTTCCCAGGAAGATGTGCAAATTCGCAAGTTGTCCATACTTTACTTGAAAGAATTTACTTTGGTTTACCTGAACTACTTTTGATTTACTTTGGTTTTACAAGAATTTACTTGGATTCTCACCATACAGGCGGCGGCTCTCCCTGTACAGTGTGGGGCTACATTATTCAAGAAAGTTCGTAGCTCAAATTTTAAATTTAGAAATCAAATGAATTATTTACATCTTTTGATGTTTATAAGATGCACACGCTATTGGTAATACTGTGATCGATTCACCCCGAGAAATTCAGAAAAGTGTAATTCTTAACGCAAAGTTTAGAACCCTTGATAGATATTTAGCTGGAAGATACTGTTGAGTACCACCTATAGCTCATAATGATGTCTCAGCTCGCGTCACCGGATAAACGAATGCGGGATTGTCGCGATCCCATTGGTTCCTTGCAAGTCCACCCGTATCAACGCCAACTTGCTCCGCAGCGTCATCTGGTGGTAACATATCCTCCGTCGGCAGCTCTGCGGTGTTCAGAATGGTAGAGTCCTTTACAAGTCTAGGCGGTTTGTAGCATAGCAGAGCTAGCAGCGCGCTACAACACGATGCTATCTTCACACCAAGTTGCATCATCGACATGCGCAGTGAGAGACTCGGGCTGTCATACTGAATGCACGAGGTTTTGATGCCGCATTTCTGTCCCCAAACCAGACAGGTGCCGTCGATAACAGCGCCGAGAACTATTGGTCCCGGAATACCTCCTGAAAGAATAACACAGCGGATAAGTTCAAAACGCTCCTTAAATAATATAAGTTAGACGATTATTCAACAAGCTAATATGTCTCATGATCGTGTCGGTGCATGCACGTGCACGCACACATACGCACACACATACACGCACACGCACACACACATGCACGCACGCACGCACACGCACACGCACGCACGAACGCACGCACGCACGCACGAACGCAGGCACGCACGCACGCACGCACGCACGCACGCACG